TACGGAAATGCATGCGCGCACGCACATACACATTTACACTCACACGCACACTATAAAACACTTAACATTACCGAATTTTTGATCTGCCGCGGAGGCGAGACCAGCCCGAAGCGCGAGGATGGTGAGAAACAGGTGAAACGATTCCATCCTTCCGATCACGCGTCCATCTCCTCCGCTCGTTATTAATAATCCATTCCAGCGGTGGGTTTCCTTCTTTGCGCGAGGTCTGAGATAATGGGGGATGGATGGAGACGGTGTGGAGACAGAGGGAGAAATGGGAGAGTGAAAAAAGAGGAGACGTCAAGCGTACGCAAAACCCGTCAGCGCACCGCAGTCCGCGCGACGCCAGAATCAGCACTGAACAGCAACCCGCCTCTGACGTCACGGACACACGCGCACACAAACACACTACTGGTGAGGCTGAGGAAGACAAAATGACAAAAAATGAGACGCTTTTAAAAATTATTATCCGTCTAATTGTGGTTAAATAACATGCAAAATGCTATATACGTTTTAATTTGATCTACAAGTTTGTACTTTTTGAGGATAAGAAGTATAATTTTCATGATTGTTTTTGCATAATTTAGTACACACTATTTATCTACGTATCTATCTAGGTTATTAGACAGAAAAACATTGGTTACACTTTACTTGAAGGGGTGTGCATAAGACTGACATGACACCTTCATAATCATGACATGACACGTCATGAATATGTTTTTTTATGCATGTTTATGACAACTATCTAAGTGTCATTCGCTCAGTTATGTCATTTTTAATGCAAAGATGACATTGTTTGAGATGTCTTTGTTATGGGCTATGGTTAGGGGTAAGGGTAGGGGTAGGGGTAGGGTTAGGTCAAATAATGTCATATTTGCATTAAAAATTACATAACTGAGCGAATGACACTTAGATAGTTGTCATAAACATGCATAAAAACCTTCATATTCATGACATGTGGTCATGATTATGAAGGTGTCATGTCAGTCTTATGCACACCCCTTCAAGTAAAGTGTAACCAAAACATTTAATAAAATCATTAACTTTAATTTTGCTGAGGTAACATGATTTAGCTTAACCACATATATTAAAATAACTAAAAAAAAATTTAAAAAAATGTTTTTATAAATAAGTATATATATATATATATATATATAAAGTCGCTTATATATATATACAGTATATAACAATTATATACACATATTTGGGGGAAAAAAAAAGAAAAATGACAAAAGCACAGAATTACTAAAATGTTAGGAAAATTAAAAATGAAAACAGAAAATGTAAAAATAACAAATAATTCATAATATTAATAAAAATTATAATTGATATTTGATATTAAGGTGTTATTTCTGATCAACTATTCAAATGCCATCTGTTCCAAAACTGAATCATAATATCTGACTGCATTTGGGTTTACAATGTGACATCAACACAAATAATTATTCCTTCCCTCCATTCAATTATTTACTGGTATAGAATAAATTGTTTATTGAAAAGAATACAGTGGACATCATCAAATACAGAGACTTTACGATCCTATATCTGATGCCAAATGTCCTCAAAGCCTGGTAAGTATATTGTTGGTCATAAGGCACAGGAAATATATATATACATCTATAAGGCAAGCTCAGCACAGAGTTGCTCTGACTGCATACGTTTGCTTTTTGTGATAAGTATTAATCATAATAAGAAGCATAAAATCTGTCATAATATTCACAATAATTTATACAATAAAAACAGATTCTTGCTGACAGGAATAAAATCAAAACAGTTTTGAGGTTTGACCATCTGCATATCATAAGCTCAGCTCAGTGACACTGCAGCAGACGAAACCACAGCCTTCACTTGATATCAGACAACACACGAGACATTTTCTATAACTCTGAGATGCAGATGACTGAGGAAGCACAGCTGGGATGCAGTGGGTGAGAGGTGACCAGGTGTTTTTGAAGGAGTGAATATGTGACCGAGTGCTACAGAAAGGCCAAGCAAGATACAGAAATATGGCAGCATTAGATATCCAGGGTCATGTGACACTGTAGCTGCCCATGCATGTTTAAGCACTGATAGCCAGTGCTGTGGTGGTGGATGCCGAACCACACCAGAAAACACATAACACGTATGTATATATATATATATATATATATGAACACTTGGGTGTGTAAAACATTTAGGTGCATATTTGGTTTAATCACACATTCACACACACTTTATAATGAGCAGAGTACTTCTTTGGTAAATTTGTCTCCTAAAAGGAGCATCTGTAGGCATTAACAGAGATGATAATATAACACTTTCAAAGAGTTCAGTGCTTGTTTAACAAGAACTCTTAGGGTTAATATTTTCCAAATACTAGAATTCCTTTTTAAGATTTATTTGTATATATTTACAGTCTGAGGTTAATTATATATATTATATAATCTCTGCACCATTAATGTGTAAATGGCAGATGTTGTTACAGTTTGCCACTCTTGGTTTAGAAGTCTTAATGCGTAAACAACTAATCAATCCAACAGATGGAGCTGAACCGTATCTCTTTATAACTTTAAAAATCTTTCTAAACACTCTCCCTCTCTCATTCTCTCTTTCACTCTGGCTAAGTGAGTGCACATAACATCAATAGCGTTTTTTCTTCTTTCACACTGTAAATCTATTAAAAGTGATCAAATCTGAAGATCCAACATGTACCAATTTTGCCCAGGGCTAAAACACATGGCTTAAATATGGCTGAGGTTTTGAGTCTTGCGTAGGGATTTGTAGTTTTTTAATACAGTATGTGTAGGCAGAAAGAAGTTGGTTCCTGTGATTAAGGGGATTGTCGCTTCAGCCCGTCCACTGAAAGCTCATACCTGCCAAACACACACAAACACAATCATATTCACATAAAAATTTCTGATACCATGTTCCCACACCATTGGCTAAATATTAGTTTTTTTTTACTGTGCCATTTTCATATATAACAGGCAAGAAATGTCTGGGTCATATTTTACTAAATTTATGCATATACTTCGCATAAAGAAAATGTGGCTTATAACTCTCATAACAAACATAGTAGTATTTAACCTTTTGGAGCATGATTTTTATTAAATCAAAAAGAAAATTAAAAAAATTCAATGTTTTTTTTTTTTTACTTTAAAACAACAAATCTAGAATAAAATTATTATTATAATCATGTTTTTCTTCTCCAAAATTTTGAGAGATATTTAAATAGGGCACACTGTACACCAGGTTAAACTGTAAATAACCACTCTAAAGTACATTTTATGCATATATTACAGTAATGGGAATAGTCAGTATAATCAATATCATCATATTCATATTAAAGGCTTAATCTTTGTAAATTATATAAATTTTTTTACCATTGCGTTGAGCTCTTTGATATATCCTCAGAGGTCAAGTCAACTAACACCTGGGAGAAAGACACGCATCATTTTTATGTGAATAATTTGTTCATGAGAGCCCCCCCCCCAAAAAAACTAGAAAATAATATTTTTGATTTATATATAAAAATTTTGATTTAGAACAATGATATTAAGGATGTTGTGAATGGCGAACTGAATGTTATTTATCTGATGAACAGGGTCTAAGAAGTTATTTATGTTATAAATGGTGTGAGGACTGTTATTTCTAATGTTATTTATGATGTGAGGGATGACACCTTTCCCAGCAGCCCTCTGTGTTTTGACAGAATTCCTCCTCCATTCTTCACAGCCACATCTAGTGTTCTTCTGTGCAACTCCACAAGTGATACGCTGAATTCAAACCTACACAAACACATGTGCATGCAACCCACAAACACTTCATTTAAAAACACAAATACAAGTATTTTTAGTCAATGCAAAATGAGAAGACTTAAAGAGACTGGAAGAGGAAAAAGAAACTGACGTTTGATCATAGACCGGATTCACTGTTTTCTTCATCGTGTTTGTTTTTCTGCGTCCAGAGCGTCGTTTATCAGGCAGCAAATACAAACGGACATATGGATCAGAACCACTTTCAGTAGAAGAGATCAGATTCCTGCAAACACAAAAATATGAAGACTTTCATATTAAAAACATCTTTCAGAAGCACTGAAATACTTCAGAAGAATCAAAAGTCATATGTATTTTACCTGCAGCCGTGTACCACGACAATTAGTTTGTTTCTTTGGGGACTGTGTCTGATGGTTAACTGAATTTCACCCAATGGAGCGAAACCAGTTGAGGCTCCACTGTAAAAAAACAACAAAAAAATATTTGTTTATTTTTATTTTTTTAACTGTTGCGGTGTTGGAATCTCAACAAACCATGAATGGCACCAGATAGAAAGGTCAAAATATGTTAAAAATGTTCAAACATACTTCTGTAATCGGTGTATTGTCTTCTGGAGCTCCTGGGCGGTGCTGGGGTTAGAGATGTCAGATGCTATGCTGGGTGTCGGCTCTTTGCTGTTTAGGTGTAGCTCAGAGCCAGAGATGGCCAGGTTAGACGTGCTCCGCCCCGATTTAGCCAGACGGGTAGGTGAGTCCTCTAATGGCCTGCTGTCTATTAGGGGCTCCACCCGCGGGGAGGGTTGGGTTCTGGGTGCTGGGGTCGGCTGCTGGGTTTTGGATGCTGGGATGGGCTCTGAAACATTGGGCCGCTGAGGAGAGGGGTTGGGGGTCTCGCTGGGGCGGCGGATCTGCACTGAGGACGGCTGATCTGATACTGCCAACTTATCCATAGAGAGAATCTAAAATACACATATAGACAGATATGCGTTGGTTACTGACTTTTTATGTGTATTTACAGCAAAAGTAAGACTTCCTGCTGAGATGGACCCTCTATATAGGGCAAGGTTCAGTGGTTTCTTTGCCAGTCGTGTTTAACCTGCTCACTGAGGCCATTAAGACACTTTTTTTCATTGAAGCTGCTTTGAAAATATAGATTTTTAAAAGCATAAAATGAAGAAATGTCTTTTTGGTTATGGTTTTAATTGTTTAATTATTGCTGTGGCCACTTCCAGTTTAGTTTTTATCTCATTTAGTGGGCATATTCCTTTTTTTTAATTATATTTATCTTAATTTAAATGTTAATTTAAGGTTTTATAGTTGAGGAATCTACAGAACATTGATAGAGCTAATTACATGTACAATGGTTAAGACCACTGAACTGCAAAACCCACTAGGTAATATTTCAAATACTGTACTTTTAATTTTTACTTAAATTGTGAAAAGGTTTTTACTCCATCCATCAATACAAAGAGTAATTTAGATATTTAGCTTGATGAAAGACACACTTTAGTTTGGGGTCCAATTCTCACTACTAACTATGACATTTGCCTCAATAAGCTCTAAATTTGCTGCTTAATAATAGTTAGTAAGGTAGTTGTTAAATTTAGGTATGGGGTACACTCTAAAAAATGCTGGGTTGTTTCAACCCAACTTTGGGTCAAATATGGACTAACCCAACTGTTGGGTTAAATTTTTACATTAAATTTTTAACGCAAAAGTTGGGTTAGTCCATATTTGACCCAAAGTTGGGTTGAAACAACCCAGCATTTTTTAGAGTGTAGGATTAAGAGATCTAAACTATGGTCATGCAGAATCAGGCATTTATATGTGCTTTATATGCACTAATAAATATGCTAGTAATATGCATAGTTATAAGCAACTAGTTAATAGTAAGAACTGGTCAATTAACTAAAGAGTTACCGTTTATTTTTATTTAATTTCAGTTACTGCTTCAACCACTGTTTTTAGTTTTATTTCTATTAGCTTTCCTTTACTTTCCATGAATTATTTAATTACAGTTAACAAAAATGTGTGTGTGTTACCCTAAGTGCCATCTTCATCTTAAGCGTAGAGCCGGGTCCTGAGTTCCTGAGTGGGAATCGCTGACTGATAGTCATCTGATCCTCCTGCAGCAGCTTTGACAGAGGAAGAGAAAACGTCCCGAGGGAACACTCGTGCTTCTCATCCTTTACCTGGACACACACAAAACATCAGACTGTGACTCGTATGAGACACCACTGTGTTGTAAACACTGCAACGTCCAGAATATACGTACTTTCAATGAATAGGGAACAATTGAGTCAATACAACTGAGTATTAATACCTTGATTTCTATGATTTAGTATTTTTCCAGAAATAAATAAATAAATACACATAAAAAAGAAATTTAAAAAGAGAACAGGCAAAAAAACAAACAAGTAGCAAACTGGATAGCAGGGCAACAAATCCAGTCTAAATACATCACTTAGAAGGGTATAGCTAGTATGATACCAAAGTTGGGGTTGTAATTATTGTTACACTTTCTTACAATTTCAAGAACAGCATTTGCTCACCCTTGCAGTGTTCAAATCTTTCACCTTTCAGGGACCAGCCCAAATTTTTAACCATTAAGCCACAAAACCCCATGTGCCTGCGAGTGCATATTTGTGCTTTACCTCCACTTCAAGTTCTTGACACTTTGGATTGTGGATCAGGAATGTGAAGGCCTCCTCCCAAAGCGGCTCGTTGGTTTTATATCTTGTCTGTAATAAGAAAAGAATGTAAAACATTTAACCATTATACATTTAGCAACAGTGAAAACACAGGATCTGAATTGGAATTCATTTACTGTACCATCTTAAAAATTCACAGTAAAGTCTGACTTAAGCAAACTTACAACATCACATTTGCAGTGAAATACTGTTATACAAAGACAACAAAACATCAACTAATAAGTGTAATGAATTTACATGCATTCATCTCTTTTCATGCAAAGCCACTTCAAAGAGCCTCACACTATTTTTCAGATTTAAATTTGCACCTGTAAGAATACCACAATATGTTATGCACATATAAATTTAAAGACAGATTACTTGTGTGCATCAGTGTGTTTACCTTGCTCTCAAAGGATTTGTGTCCCACAGTAAACTGGACGAATGGACTGGGCACATTGGTGACCTTTTTACCAGACTATAGAGCATACAAATAGTTATTAACAACGCTTCCATATTAAACATAAAAATAACAATATGCACAAATAACATTATCAACATTAACCACACTCTTACTAAAGCAAATAACAAAAGGATTTAAATCAAACAATAATAGCGTCATCTCAAACACGTAAGAATCTACAGTACATATTTGCACACTAATGGCTTGAAATGTTTCTTAGTAACCATATGATATTTACTCCCGTCTAAATCTGCAATGACTACGAACCACACCTGGCATGCTGTCCATTACCACAGACAGTTACAGTACATGGAAAGCTGAGCAAGCAACACTTTAAATAAATGTTTAATCTATGTGATTACCAAATCATAAGAATAACCATGACATTCATATGTTTGCATAAGATTGTTTACCAACATTTTTTTGTTCAAAGTCCACAGGGAGTTGTTTTCTATGTAGCTTGTACACATACTAACATGTGTCCTATTTACTTGAATGGGAAAAGTCCAAAATCTACAAAACCGATATTCAAGATTATGTTTTAACATATTTTCGAATTAGCACTGTAATCTAATTAAATGCTACTGTAAATTCTGCTTCTTTAGTTCAAATCACAATATATTAGGCTGTTCCAGTTAAAGCATTTTCACTTTTAAACAAAGGAGCAATTTAAAATCAAGTAAAATGATTTTGTACTGAGCAGCAATACTTGCTAAAATAAATTATAATTGTTATAATTTGTCCAAATTATTGACCCTGATAATAGACAGCATGCCATTAGCCCAGATGCGGTAAACATTAAAGTTGGAAATATTCCATTAGATAGAAAGTTACAAATAATCTAGAATATTGTATTTGTTCCATTAAATTAAAATTACAGTAGTCATTTCCCCTTATGAATGCCATGCACTATATTACTATCAGGACATAAAACCTAAAAACCTGTTAGATTCAAGCAAGGTCTTATATGTTGCATTTATGTAGGATTTTGTGTATAATCTTCTTGATTCATATATTGCTTGAATTAAAAGCAATCAATTCAGAATTGGGAAAATGGGATTGGAAAGCTGGCTGAGATTTACATAAGAGAAATAGTCTCTGTGGCATTCAGAGTCTGAATTCAGTGCGTTTCGGACAGTCAGATGCACACGCAGGTCTGCATGCGGTTAATCAAAGCACACAAACAGTACACACGATACCTGCTGCAGAAGGATCTTAAATCGACATAAACAACTTGCCACGTCTTTCTACATCATTATGTGTGTGCGTAAATTGTGAGAAAACTGGTTGTGTTACCTTTATCGCTTTATTGACTGTACCCTTCTTCAGACCTGCATTGTTGAATTCTAAAGGATTGCGCTTATTTCCAAAAGCAGAAAAGGACGAGACACACATGCGCACACACACAAACAAATACAAATACAGGCAGGATTATTAGGAGGATGGCATGCAGAGTTAAATTCATAATTGCACAAAAACACAGACATCCTGGAGTACTCACTCAATCATACACAACAAAATGAATGATTATGGAATTAATGCATGGTTAATTTGATGAAAATGAGAAAAGATGATGCCTCGTTGTATTTTATCCGTATGATTGTTCAAATGATGAAAGAGCCCTGGCAGAACACATCAGCGTATTTTTATTCATTTGCGTTTGATTAGTCATGCCTGGAGAGTGGGCACATGAGAGGACACAATTCAGGTGTCAAGGACAGTGATGAAGAAAGAAACATGAAAGAGAAATATAGACAAGGCAATCCAAAGAAAATCAGTCCAACCCACACTTCACTGCAAATCAACCCGCAACAAATCTGATTGCAGAAATATGTCACACAATGTCATGGGCACTGCAGGACACTACAAGACGCCTGAACTCACTCAAACGCTTTCAGTGACTGATGAAAATGATCAAATGAGGCATGGGCTGATACAGCAACAGTTATACAACTGTTACAGATACAGTCGTTCCAAAAGTGCTGATATTTTATAAAATAGCACTGGAGTTTTCACACTTTGGATCAGCATCCCCAGCATTTGTTTGCTGTTCAGACACACGACAGTTGATTCTCTTTTTGTATGGAAAGCAAAAATAGACAAACTAGCTGTCCAATATTATGTCTAAAATAGTAAGTTTAATCTGTATGTATAAATAATGTATAAAATGTTGCTTCGGTGACATTGCTTAATCATGTATTTCATACAGTGAAGGGCAGAGTGAGACCCGTTTCATTCAACATGCTTCTAAAATTGACACTCTACTCTACTGCACTACTTACATCTCTATGTTACACCGCCTCCAACACACACTACTGTTCAAAATTTCATAGTCTGTAAGATTTTTTTTTAATGTTTTTGAAAGAAGTCTCTTATGCTCAGCAAGGCTGCATTTATTTGTTCAAAGTTACAGTAAAAACAGTAATATTGTGAATTTTCAACAGCCATTACTCAAGTCTTCAGTGTCACATGATCCTTTAGAAATCATTCTAATATGCTGATTTGGTGCATATTAATATTCAAACAGTTGTGCTACTTAATGTTTTTGTGGAAATGGTCACACATTTTTTGAAGACTGATCTGATGATGAACAGTTCGAAAGTAACAAGAAATTAATGCTGAACTGCATTTATTTGAAATAGAAATCTTTTGTAACATTATTAAAGTCTTTCATGTAACTTCTGATGAATTTAATGAATCTTTGCTATATTCAATCCTATATCCAATAAATAAAAACATACTGACCACAAACGTTTGAAGAGTAGTGTATCACAATCTTTCTCACACACAAATAATCAGCAAATCATTAAATGATAAAAAAAAACTTGATCAGCAATATACCCATAACCACATAACCTCATTTAGCTCTCCAAACAGGGCTGACAACTGCGTTCTATTGCTGTGTAACCTCTGATGCTCTATATTCAAATGCCCTCTTTAAAGGAAAGCGTGCACATTTACAGTGAAAAAACAACTGCACACACAAAAATGGCTGCATTAACACCTCTAACACAGACTAATTATATCTATGCAAAATGCAGACAGGGCCTCTGTAAACACTAGCATGCTGACAGACCAAACCACGACATAACCAAACACAAACAAAACAGTCCTCTGAGTTTATACAGCATTACAGGAAGATTTTACATGCAAAAGGGAAGTTGAGATGTAACTATGAAACATTTGTAAATGAAATAACCAACTGTTAATGCACCAAATGCAGGTAAAATGCAAGCAGACCAATCTAATGGAAATGCCAGCAGAGTGACTCACAAACATTGTCCTGTAGAGGGCAGAAGTGTCCTCACAGAACACCAGCCCGGCAGAGCAGCACTCTCTCAGACACCCACTGCCCACGTGCCCCTCAAAAACACTCTTCACCCAGAGCGACAGGAAACCAGAGCGGGACAACAGAAAGAAACAGAGGATGAAAGGAGAAAAGGGCAAGGCAAGTGTAGTAGTAGAAGTGATACCTGATGAAAGAGGGAAGGTGGAGCATAGAAAAATGAGGAAGAAAGAAAGAAGCTAGTGTGGGTGAGTATGTGTGTGTGTGTGTGTGTGTGTGTATGTGTGTTAATGCTCACTGGCAGATTTTTGGCTGAGTCCAGATGCACCAACAGTAATGCTGATGACAGTCCATCATTGGCCTGGCCTTTATCTGCTTTAATGCTGCTTAAAACCTGAAAAGCAACACATAAAACATTAAGCAGTGTGGTGTGGTGTGTGTGTGATCTGTGGTGTGTGATCCACATTGTGAGGATTTGTCTCTTTAAAGGGACTAAATTATGTCTTATTTTACATGCAATAGTTATCACAAAATTATTTTGTATTAGTTTATAGAAATGGGAAATTTCAGAGTTTAAAAGTAGGAATGTGCAGTTCGTATTTTTGTTATAGTTCTTCTATACATACTAAGTTTGGGTTCAGTAAGATTTTAGTATTTTATTTATTAATTTTTTTAAAGAAATTCATATTTTTATTCAGCAAGGATGCATTAAATTGATCAACAGTGAGAGTTAAATACATTTATAATATAACAAAATATTTCTATTTCAAAGAAATACAGTTTATTTAAATTTTCTATTCATCTAAGAATCCTGAAATAATCAGTTTCCACAAAAACAGCACAACTGCTGTTTTCAACATTGATGATATCAATAAACAGTCTCTTATGCTCAGCAAGGCTGCATTTATTTGTTCAAAGTTACAGTAAAAACAGTAATATTGTGAATTTTCAACAGCCATTACTCAAGTCTTCAGTGTCACATGATCCTTTAGAAATCATTCTAATATGCTGATTTGGTGCATATTAATATTCAAACAGTTGTGCTACTTAATGTTTTTGTGGAAATGGTCACACATTTTTTGAAGACTGATCTGATGATGAACAGTTCGAAAGTAACAAGAAATTAATGCTGAACTGCATTTATTTGAAATAGAAATCTTTTGTAACATTATTAAAGTCTTTCATGTAACTTCTGATGAATTTAATGAATCTTTGCTATATTCAATCCTATATCCAATAAATAAAAACATACTGACCACAAACGTTTGAAGAGTAGTGTATCACAATCTTTCTCACACACAAATAATCAGCAAATCATTAAATGATAAAAAAAAACTTGATCAGCAATATACCCATAACCACATAACCTCATTTAGCTCTCCAAACAGGGCTGACAACTGCGTTCTATTGCTGTGTAACCTCTGATGCTCTATATTCAAATGCCCTCTTTAAAGGAAAGCGTGCACATTTACAGTGAAAAAACAACTGCACACACAAAAATGGCTGCATTAACACCTCTAACACAGACTAATTATATCTATGCAAAATGCAGACAGGGCCTCTGTAAACACTAGCATGCTGACAGACCAAACCACGACATAACCAAACACAAACAAAACAGTCCTCTGAGTTTATACAGCATTACAGGAAGATTTTACATGCAAAAGGGAAGTTGAGATGTAACTATGAAACATTTGTAAATGAAATAACCAACTGTTAATGCACCAAATGCAGGTAAAATGCAAGCAGACCAATCTAATGGAAATGCCAGCAGAGTGACTCACAAACATTGTCCTGTAGAGGGCAGAAGTGTCCTCACAGAACACCAGCCCGGCAGAGCAGCACTCTCTCAGACACCCACTGCCCACGTGCCCCTCAAAAACACTCTTCACCCAGAGCAACAGGAAACCAGAGCGGGACAACAGAAAGAAACAGAGGATGAAAGGAGAAAAGGGCAAGGCAAGTGTAGTAGTAGAAGTGATACCTGATGAAAGAGGGAAGGTGGAGCATAGAAAAATGAGGAAGAAAGAAAGAAGCTAGTGTGGGTGAGTATGTGTGTGTGTGTGTGTGTGTGTGTATGTGTGTTAATGCTCACTGGCAGATTTTTGGCTGAGTCCAGATGCACCAACAGTAATGCTGATGACAGTCCATCATTGGCCTGGCCTTTATCTGCTTTAATGCTGCTTAAAACCTGAAAAGCAACACATAAAATATTAAGCAGTGTGGTGTGGTGTGTGTGTGATCTGTGGTGTGTGATCCACATTGTGAGGATTTGTCTCTTTAAAGGGACTAAATTATGTCTTATTTTACATGCAATAGTTATCACAAAATTATTTTGTATTAGTTTATAGAAATGGGAAATTTCAGAGTTTAAAAGTAGGAATGTGCAGTTCGTATTTTTGTTATAGTTCTTCTATACATACTAAGTTTGGGTTCAGTAAGATTTTAGTATTTTATTTATTAATTTTTTTAAAGAAATTCATATTTTTATTCAGCAAGGATGCATTAAATTGATCAACAGTGAGAGTTAAATACATTTATAATATAACAAAATATTTCTATTTCAAAGAAATACAGTTTATTTAAATTTTCTATTCATCTAAGAATCCTGAAATAATCAGTTTCCACAAAAACAGCACAACTGCTGTTTTCAACATTGATGATATCAATAAACGTTTACTGAGCACCAAATCAGCATATTAGAATGATTTCTGAAGGGTCATGTGACTGGAGTAATGATGCTGAAAATTCAACTTTGCCGTCACATTAATAAATTAAATTTTATTTCACAATATTTCTGTTTTTACTGTATTATTGGTTTTACCCTATTTTTGATCAAATAAATGCAGCCTTAGTGAGCGCAATAGACTTCTTTCTTACTGACCCTAAACTTTTAAAGGGTAGTGTACATTTGTTATTTGATCAGTAAAGTCTAAATCATTAACAGAAGTCATATCATATCACTTTGATGTGTATATGAGGTGTGTTATGTTACCTCATCGAGTTTATCAGGTGTAGGGAGAAGAGAAAGCCATTCAATCTTCAGGTGAAGCTTTCCTGTAGCAACATCATCAAGTACAAACCACTACACTCACCCAAAGAAACACACACACACATGCACACAGGTGAAACAGGGAGTGGATTTATTATATGAAAACATACATTTCATTTTAAAACTTTGTACTTTATATAATAATAACACTTTATTAAAGGTATAGTTCACTCAAACATGAACATTCTGCTGTCATTTACTCAGACGGGACATTCTTTAAAAATCTACTATTCATGCTCCACAGAAGAAATTAAGTCATAAAGGTTTGGAACATCACAAGGCTGAGTAAATGATGAAGTCGATTTTTGAGTGAACTAATAATTTAAGCAATTTTTCTGCTTTGAGCTCATACAAAAATAAAGCTGGACAGATGTAAGACCAAAATAAAACAAAAAGGTATTTTTTGTACCTCATCTACTTTCTGTTCCTTCTCTAGTTCATCTATGTTGATGGTAAGGCTAAAGAATACAGGAGGACAAAAATCAAATGATTAAAATAAAAAGATCCTGACGATCTTTAAGGTGGAATTCTGAAGTATTATTGCTTGTAATTATTTAATGATAGATTAGATCAATCCCAGCCATTACCTTCCCAAATAATCATCCTTATCATGGTCCTCATCATAAAGCTCTATCTCCACATTCTGTCCTGGGTGATTGTACACATATGCCTAAAACACACATAAACACCTTGGATTGGTAAATAAAAACATGTCAGAGAAGGACAGATTCAATCACAAATTAGTCCCTTACCTCATAAACTTCGTTCCACTTAGGATTAACTGTCTCTTTGATGATTTTGGATCTGAAGAGCTGATTACCCAGCTTAATGACACCATATGGGTCTGACTTTCCTTTTATCAGGCCACCCAGAAACTTGTCCTTCCCTACCAGGTCCTGTGCCTCCAGAAAGTGAATCCGCAGAATACCCTAAAACAAAACCATGCATATGATATAAATATTCTGTTTATATACAGGTATGCATGTGTATATGAAATGTACAAGTATGTCACCTTTGGCATGGGGAAGCGGAGTCTGGAAATCTGTGCATCATTTACAAGTGGAATAGTGATTTTGTTTGGAAGCACGAGAAAACTGTATATGATATCCTGAATAGTGCGGTCACACAGACCACTGTGAAAGACAAGAGAGCAAGAGAGATTAGTGATGATGTTAAATATTATAACAAATCAGTCCAATGCATTAAATACCCATAAGTACTGTAATGTAATGTTCAGAAGCTGTATAGAATCAGAATCAGAATCAGAATCAGAAGAGCTTTATTACCAAGTATGTTTACATACACAAGGAATTTGACTTGACGACAGGAGCTTCCAGTGTAGATCCTTTATTGCTGTGTAACAGTGATCCAATATATTGGATAGACCACTTTTATTATACTTTTTAGGTAAATTGAGCTTGACAGCTGCAGTTGTAATCTGCTTGCCTTTCCACTGTGTAGAAAAAAGCAACTTGAATATTCTGCTACATAATAACAGTGTACAAAAAAGGTTGAATGCCCATGCCCACACTTTTCAATGCCTTTTTGCTTTGACTAAACACATCTTCAGGCCCTTTTTTTGCTTAAACCATGTGAAATTAAACATTTGGGATAGTTCTCAAGATGGCCAGGGCCCACTAGAGGGCCTCAGCAAACTTAAAAAAATAATAAAAGTTCATTTTAATATTATAATTGATTTATTGAAATGTTTTAATTCAACTGAAATGCTAAAAATATACAATCAACATAAACTAAAATTATTTTTTGAAACACTTCCCCCTTTTTTGCCCACAGTTCCTGAAATTTCTGTAACCACAAAATGAATTGTGGTTAATTAATTCATGAACACTCCCAGTTTCTGTGAACAAAAAGCTGGAAACCAAGTAGCTTTGTCTTAATTGCACCCGGAATATCAGAGAAAACATATATTGGGAGGACTTTGAATATTGTATTTAACTATGTGGAGCTTTCGAATAAAAAAAAATGAAGAGAACCACTGGGATAAGGGGAAGAATTAAAGCTCTATAATGTTTCCTTTATCCTCCCCCAGCAGTTCTCTATTAGCACAGTTTTCATTTAAGTACTGCAATTTATAGTTGTTTATAGTGCCTTCACCCACACTATGTTAATGACTGTATCTATAGCATTATTTACCAGTTAGCTTGCATTTCAGCTTGAATATGTAACACATCAGGATTAATTAATTAATTTTTCAGAGATCAAAGAATTCAGATTGATTTCAGCACTGATGTCTAACCAGAAATGTTCATGAAATGTGACTCTTCTGTGAGGGTACGTGTATGTGTGTGTGTGTGTGTGAGAGAGAAAATATAACAAAGGACAAGATCTCCCCACGCCTAAACCACAACACCAGCTCCACCCATGATATGACTATAAAAGGAGAAAAAGAGAGAGAAAGAGAGAGAGAGAGACTCCTCTGGGAAACACATTAAACTCTACATTTGGACACACACACTGATGTCAGGGGATCACAGGGCGCACTTTAAGATAAAACACACTATTAAGACCCCATCATTTCCCCACCGTCACAAGTGGGTGTAAACGTGCATCGTCTGATGTGGTCTGACAGGAAGAGCAGCATTTCTGAAACTGGAGTGAGCGTGTATAATGTTTGTGTGAGAGACTGTTATCTGTGCCACCTCAAAATACAAAATAGGTCATGTGACAGCATGTGCATTTCAAAGGCTGCCTTATCCACTCCAGTTTTATGAAACTGGCATAATCTGATTTTGATGTGTGATGGCTGACACGTGTATCACTCACTTTATTCCAGGGATGTCTAGCATATTTGTAAGACCTGTCCAGTTTATATCCAGTAACTGAGAGAGAGAAACAGACACATGTAACAATATTTAATACATAAAGGTTGTGTCAAAGCCATTAATCAAACACAGTGCAACAGTAACTGCCTATGTTTTCATTGGTTCTGGAAATATTTTTCTCTCCATATGAATTAAAAAAAAATGTGTTTCAAGCCATGAACCAAACTAATAATCTCTGAGAGAATCTACAAACTTTGTTTAAAAAAAAAAAAAGGTATTTGAAAATAGAAGAAAAAACAAAGGAACAAGACTGTGTTCATATTTTATGAAGGATACAGAATGCCGTAAGCACTGCAAATGATGTAATCTAATAACAAAATGACAGATTAACCAGAAATATTGATTTGTAGTCATTGGTTATAAGTATAATCAAATATATTAGATATTTACTGTTCAAAAGTTTGGAGTCGTTAAGAATTTTTAATTTTTTTTCAAAATGTACAGTTCAAAACTACAGTTTTCTATTTTAACATATTTAAAAATGTAATTTATTCCTGTGATGGCAAAGCTGAATTTTCAGCATCATTACTTCAGTCTTTAGTGTCACAGGATCCTTCAGAAATCATTCTAATATGCTGACTTGCTGCTCAAGAAATATTTCTTCTTATTATCTTATTACAGTCTGTTGAAAACAGTTGTGCTACTTAATATTTTTGTGGAAACCGTAATACATTTTTCTTCAGGAGTCTTTGATGAATAGAAAGTTCTTTAGATCAATATTTTGGATCAAGACATCCACTGGATCCAATAAACATGAACAGCTGAGAATGAGATGAATGAATGAGACAAGTTTAAGAGGAATAGATTTAGTTCCCTTTCATGGGAACTTCGAACTGCGTCCTCTAGGGGTCGCTATGGGGGAACGCCTCGTCGTGACCCGTGTCTGAAGCATACATTGAAAAAACACCAACTCGTTGGCCGGCGACAGCCATGATGTCACTACCGGTGCGACTATAGTATAAATAGGTGCCGGGAGCACACATCATTCACTTCTTCGTCTTCATTGACTGTTCTGTTTGAAGCGTGCATTTCCAAGGAAAAAGTAAGAGCTATCTCTTTCATTATGGCGAGCACTAGCAGAGCATTTAGAAGGTGTGTGCGTCCGTGTCATCGCTATTTGACACCAGATGACACACACGATCTATGTGTTGTTTGTTTGGGCGAAGATGGATGATGGATGTTTGCTCCCTCAGCTACAGATTTACTGCTAGCCATTCCAGGACGATCTTATTTGAACACAGTTTTTGCAGAGCAGTGTTCCTGAGAAAAACTCTTAGTGAAGTTACAAGGGTGTGGGTTATTATTAAATAACAGACACATTCTCATCATTCTTTATATTGTATGATTGTCTAATTTAAGTAATGCCAGTTATGTAGCCAAAAAAAAACAAATCAGACACAAACACAATGAAAGAATGTTCTTCTACATGTGACACAATAGTGTGTGTATATGTGGTGGTTAACGTACAGGTTTCTTGAGGAAGAACACAGACAGTGCACCAATCAGTGGCATATCTCCTAGCAATGGCTCCATGATGACCCTCAACACACCATTAAGCTACAAATACAAACAACAAACAAATAAAAGGTAAGATTATAATATATAACAGTGAGAAATTCTGGATTCAAACTTGCTTGCATGAGCACTATAGCTCAATGTGTCATAGCATATGCAGTAACTATTAGTCAAATAATTCTGACTTGCATATAATGCACATAATATGTGCAGGTGACCCGAGTTTAAATCCTGCTCGGGTTATTTCCCGATACCACTAGCTCTCATAATGTTTCCTGTAACATCTCCACTATCCTCTTCAGTTAAAGCCAAAAAGCTCATATAAATAATTAAAAAACTTCTGCTTGCAAATATGAGAACGGACTAACATTACATCTAATGCCTAACTATAAACTAACAAAGCAAAGAAGCTCTGTTATACAGTTCAAACTCATATCAAAGCTCATGTGGTCACTCTGATTGTTATCAGGGTAATGGGGGCATTCTTAAATGTAAGCAACTTATGTAAGCAACACACAAACAGACATCTGTCACACACTCTCTGAGTCTTACCTGTATGCTCTTGATTCCTGCACGGCAATAGTATTTCTTAATATCCACATCAATTTCAGTGTTTCCGACAAAACTAGACAAATACAATAACACACAAACAGACTTTCAATATCTCAAGTCCAGTAATGAGTCTCAGTGGTAAACGTTATCTGTGTGTATTTTACCTGATCTGTAGATCCATAATAATCTGTCGTTTATCTACATTCTCTGTATAAACTTTCACTCCATCCACCCTGAGAGGCTGCAGGCAGATGAAAAATTATTATATTGTGTGTATAAGAGTATGTAAATGTGTGTGCTGGTTTACCAAGTTTAAATTTGAGGACAAATGTCTTGAGCTAAATATGACTAAACCTTCCTTTGCAGTTGTCCTCAAAGGTAAAAAGGTTCTAGAATATAATGTTTTTAGTAGCATTTTTAAATGCCAAAGATTTCCTTTTAGGGGTAGATTTAGAGTTTAGATTGATATGTTGCAATTATAAATAGCTTTATATAATACAATTTAAAGGAACACTCCACTATTTTTGAAAATAGGCTCATTTTCCAACTCCCCTAGAGTTAAACAGTTGAGTTTTACCGTTTTCGAATCCATTCAGCCGATCTCCAGGTCTAGCGGTTGCACTTTTAGCTGTAGCTTAGCATAGATCATTGAATCTGATTAGACCATTAGCATCTCGCTCAAAAATGACCAAAGAGTTTCTATATTTTTCCTATTTAAAACTTGACTCTTCTGTAGTTACATTGTGTACTAAGACCGACGGAAAATGAAAAGTTGCGATTTTCTAGGCCAATATGGCTGCACCCATAGTACGGCAGCAAAGTTCCTTGATTATTATGTCAGAATGAGAGTATAGTTCCTAGCCATATCGGCCTAGAAAATCGCAACTTTTCATTTTCCGTCGGTAAAACTCAACTGTTTTAACTCTAGGGGAGTTGGAAAATTAGCACATTTTTCAAAAATAGTGGAGTGTTCCTTTAAGTCTTTGGTATGTCCCATAGACTGTATAAAAACATGGACGTGACGTAGTGTCCGTGACGTCACCCGTAGGATTCCGAAGATAGTTTTTGAAGCTCAAAAGTGGGCGGAGGCGGCCGTCGCCATCTTGGCAGCGCGTCACCGCGCGTCACTCCCGGATAATCGAAGATGGGCAAAGAGGCGGGAGCTGGTTGTTGAAACCACGCCCACCTAGCTCGATGGTGGTGACAGCAGCAGCAATCCACCTGTCACTCAAGTGGCCACGCCCTTAATTATGCAGAACTTTAAGGCTTAATATAATTTAAACGGATGAGTTATAAAAAGATTCACCCCCCTCACAGTTGTCATGAAGGGCAAAATAGCTATATAGACCACAATAATTTTTTGAACGAGGCTGTAAACATGTTTTTTTCTGCTGTAAAGTTAGGCATTTTAACATGGGGAGTCTATGGGATTGACTCCCTTTTGCAGCCAGCCTCTAGCGGCCAGTTGATGAATTACAGTTGAAGTCATGTCCTCAAACAGATAAATTAAGAAGTGTTTATATTTATTTATAATAAATAAATGTTAAAATAATTTTATAAAATTCACTTAAATAATTTTTATATAATTAATAAATTATATTTAAATTATTTATATGTAGCTATTATTTATATATATATATATATATATATAATTTAAATGCTTTAATTATAAATGCAGTCATTTTTTTAATGATTTTACATGAATTTCATTTGAATACATAAAGTTGTCTTTTTGGGTTGGTTTAGGATTTGAGTTAGTTAGGTCTATGGTATGCTCTCATTTAGATAGCTATGTAAACATGTGCATGTACCTTGTCCCCCATGTCTATCTTGGAGAAGGTAAAAGTACTAAGGTGCGCATTGGCTCCCTGCACTGCCGGTTCAATGGTGTCTCTGAAGATTTTATCTACAAACTGACAAATATATGGCCACATCTGATGTACAGTCTGTTAAAAAAAGAGAAAGAGAGAGAGTCAATACTCTTGCGAAGACATTTCTGGGTTAGCATAGATTCAGATCTATTTTTATAAAACCACACCACCACACACACACACACCTTGTTAAGCCACTCCACTCTCTCCACATCTGGAAAATGAACCTGAAACACAAAACAGACTGAATTTTATTTTAATGGATATTTTAAACACATTCATTAGTCACAGCACATCCCCTGCGGACAGTAACAGCTCTCAAAATAATTCAACAAATCAATATTTTTACACTTCATCACAATGACACATTGATTCTTTAAATGCAGAGCATGTAGTGAAATTATGTATTGGTATAAACAGAAGAGTTAAATTTCCACTTTTCAACAACTAGTTTATTCTCACTACTCATCATATCCATTACTCATTACATGACCACATTATAATGACATAATGTGGCTGTTTAATGAACATTTTGTTACCCTGCTGAAGACCAGCAGACTAAAGGTGCTAACAGAACATGCTCTCTCAGTCTCTGTCTCTCCATCTCACTGAGAGCGAACGATGCAATAAAACCAGAGCGTTCTCATTATATAACTAATTTAGTTAACATGAACTAAGAATGAACAATACATCTACAGCATTTAATAATTTCAACATTTACTAATGCATTACTAAAATCAAAAGTTGTGCTTGTCAACATTAGTTAATGCACTGTGAATTAACATGAACTAACAGTGAACAACTGTATTTTCATTAACTAACATTAACAAAGATTAATAAATACTGTAATAAATGTATTATTCATTGTTTGTTCATTATAGTTAATGCATTAACTATCATTAACTAATGGAACCTTATTGTAAAGCGTTACCGAGTCTTTTTAATAATAGGAAGCAAATTTTCATGCATGTCCAGTTAGTGGTTTTTGAGCATCGGAGTTCTTTCACAGATGCTGACACGACAACACTAAACACTAAACATCCAAAACAGCTAGTGCAGTCCAATTCACAAACGACTGACACTTATGAATAGGCTCTGTTAATGAATCAGTCATCAGTAATAGGTTTGAATCTGTCTAAAGAGTTCCACCACCTATCTCTCAAATGGACCATTGACACTCCTAATTGAGATTGTAGATAGAGTGTCAATGGTCCATTTGAGAGATAGGTAGGGTTGGGTATCGTTTGTTTTTTTTTCCGATACCGGTGCCAAATCGATACTTTTAAAACGGTTCCGGTGCCTAAACGGTGCCTGAACCGATACTTATTAAAAAAATAAAAATAATAAATAAATAAAAAATCCCCCCAAAAATTATGAATTGGCCATTAGAATAGAAATAGAATAGAGAGTGCAAATGTTAGAAGGTCAAGTTTTTGAATTAAAAAAAACAAGCAGATAAAATTAGAAGTAGCATTAGAATAGAGAGTGCTAGAGTTAGAGGGTCAAATTAAGATGATGTGTTTTCAGACGTTTCTTGAAAATATTAAGGACTGCTTGGATTGAGTCAGCTTTGACTGATCACAGGTCGAGAATCAGGAGAGATGACTGACAAGACCATGCTGGAGTATTTGCTGCTCAACAGATCCAGAGCTCATTGACAAATATCTGATCTTGTAAGATGTGCTCCCTTTACACAGAGTGCGTGTGATCGCGAAATCGAAAGTGAAAGTAAACAGCGCAAACGCTCATTCAAAAATATTTAAATACACCGGTACTACCAAGATGTGTTGGATTTGTATTATTAGAGCTTTCCGACTTGAGTTCATGTGCATTTTCTCAGTCGGAAAATTATTTTTCATGTGCGGTGCCAGTAATGATGCTTCTTACGTCCGTTTCGGAGAACCAGAGGACAAATATTTCAATCGATCGCTCAGGCATGGCACCGAAATGAGGCACCGAAATCTGCGTTCGGATTCGGTTCTAGTACATACCGGTTACATAGGTACCGGTGCCATATTGGTACCGGGTTTTGGTACCCAACCCTAGAGATAGGTGGCGGTAATGCACATATAAGTCTGCGATCCGCCGTAAAGCAAGAAGAAGAAGACGCATCACGCGCCGGCTGTCGAGGACGCGCTCAGGACAGTTCAGACAGTTCAGACATTGCAGTGCATCAGAGGTAAAAAAACGCTATAAATACTGTTCAGTTTCTTGCACAGACCGGTCGTTTCGTGTCTAGACTTGTGCCGGTATTCGGTAATGCGATATATCCCGGTAATGAATATGCACGATATTGTTATCGTGGGCACTTCTAAATACCGTGAATAATTATATATTACAAAT